AAACTGCATGGAATACAGTAAAAGAGATAGTCAACACAAAATGCATAACATCAGATTATAAATATAAGGTAGAATTAATAGCTTAGAAAGACATTATTAAAACACGTGATAAAATGACCTAGAAAGAAAAAAAAGATTAATCATAAATTTGTATATATACAAAAAAAATAAAATAAAATAAAGTATATAGTAATAATGCATAATTCTTGTACAACATGCTCCTAAAATGAGCAGTAACCAATAAAATTGGCCTTTGGCACTCGTGATCTTGGTGATTCTTAGTCCTTCGTTCCATTTCCAAATGAACTTCATTACACTCATCCATTTGTATAAATTTCAGCAAATCAGCCCGAATTATGGGTCGGAATACACCAGTGTCGATTAATTTTGCCCAAGATCACTCAAAATTTTACTAATGAAACCATAGCCCACGCCCAGATGATAATTTTGGTGTAATACAGTTAGTTATTGCTATTTCTTAATACCGGCCTAAATCCGACCCATAATTCGGGCCGATCTGCTGAATTTTTGTTTTCTCTGCTAATCTATCCTAGGAGCACTCATCATTTTTTTTTCAGAGTTGCGAACAAGAAATTTTAGCAAGTCGTCCTTCAGTTTACTACATTAACCGCTCAATTTCACTGACAAGTTTTTTTTTTATAAATTACACTAACCTTAACTCTAATTCTAGCGACAATGACCAGAATTACTTTGTGAAATGAACAGTCGGTAAAATAACCGGATAAACGTCCGACAAATTCCGAACCACAAATCGAATCACATGAGTATATCTTACGGCATGACAGCAATAGTATGACATGACATGAAATTTAGCCTAGTGTGCCATTTACGTTTACCCTACCTGCATCAAAACGGTAACCTAAAAATCAACTCGGGTTTCACCCTAAAATTATTATACTAACGTTAAGGGACACCCACCAGAACGATATCGATATAGCGATAGTTAGATAAATTGACTTTAGAAATTTACAATGTCTAGTAAAACAATAAAATCGGCAAAGCCAAAAAAATCTAAAGCTAAACGATCGGGACGTAGTAAGAATGCCACTAAAACTAAAGTTGTAGTTCGCCGCTTGCCTCCTCTTCTTCCGGAAAATTTATTCTTAGAATCTGTAAAACAATGGGCAAATGAAGAAACCATCGACTGGTACCGGTTTCATCAAGGTCGAATAAGTAAGAGGTAACGACTGATTACTGCAAAATACTTGTGAATTAGTATTTCGATTGATCAACCTCTTTTATCACAGTAAGAATAAAGAGAATATATTTTCTCGTGCTTACTTCCATTTTAAAAACGTTGAGCAAGTTTTAGAGTTTCACCGTGGTTATGACAACCATCTTTTCGTCGATAGACAAGGTATGTAAATTATGATCAGTCTATAAAATTATTTTATTAGCTTCATATGAAATTACCATGACGTTCTTTAGGTAATGAAAATAAAGCGGTGGTTGAGTTTGCAGTTTATCAGAAGTTACCAAAAGAACATAAGAAATCAGACCCAAGACAGGGGACTATTGAGAGTGGTAATATTTTATGGCGTGTAAAATGGGTTAAAGTGTTTCAAAAATAAAAAAAGCTTATATATATTTTTAGATCCTGACTATCTTGCATTCCTCGAGTCTTTAAAGGCTGATGAAAACCGACAGGCTACTTTAAAAGAGCCAGGTTCTGGGTTAGAGGGAGGCGCTACGCAATTGGAAAGGCTAGAGGCGCGTTTAACGGGTGCTATTGGTATGTTTTTTATGGTTTTTTTTCTGATATATTGTCAGTTTATTATACATTTCATTTAACCGCCGTTTGTATAAATTTAAAATAGCTACGGCAGCTTCCAACTCTATCGAAAAACCAAAAAGTACACCACTCCTTGACCATCTGCGAGCTCAAAAATCTGGGGCAAAATCCAAGTCACCGCCTCCAAAACAATCGCAAGTGACCGTCCTTTCTCCACCAGGTTCCCCTGCAAAAAGTTCCAAAACAAAACAGATGCAACAAATACGTGGAATACAAATATCTGAAACGGCTTTTCCTCCCGGACCGGGAAAGCCCACTCGAAAAGAGCGAGAACGCAAAAAAAGAGAAAAGGAGAAGGAAAGAAGAGAGAAGGATAGAAAAGAAAAAGATAATGACAAATCCAAAGAAATAAAAGACGATGATATTATCAAAAATGTTGAAAAAGAGCAAGAGAAAGAGTTGGAGGCTATCGACGAAAAAGATCATGAAAGGCCCAACGAAAAATCCAAAGAGCGACACAAAGAGAAAGAGGGTCATCGTGAAAAAGATCGCGAGAAAATAAGGGAAAGGAGGAAGGAACGAGAAAGACAAAAGTTAAAAGAGAAACAGAAGATCCAAGTGGGAACTGCCAAGTCAGAGACTCCAGTAGTTACTATTCTGACTAAACCGCAAGTGAAAGAAGATATAAAATCCGACGCGAAAGATAAAGAAATCAAGAAAAGTACGCCTATAAAGATTACTATTCAACAACGGCAAAAAGATCAAATCAGACAAATTATTAAAGAGTCTGTTAAAGAACCTGCTGCAGTAGAAAGCCCAAATGAAACATCAACAACATCACCAACTACGTCTAGTACATCTATCACCTCTGAGACCAAAGAACACCCTTTCAATCGTCGTCGTGAAAGAGACCGTAGCAGAAAAGTAGGGTACGGAATGGGTCGGGTTGGGCGTGCTTGACTGGGGCCTGTACTCAAACTCGAAAAACATTTATAAACCCAAACCCGGCCTCAAGGAAAAAGCTCCCCGAAGAATGGACCAGGTTGGACTTTATTTTAAGTTAGGCTTGGCTTAATATGACCACTCAAATTCAATGTTGACTATTTTGGGTCATAACCAACTTTACATGACCAAGGTGGTCATAATGTAATAATAAATCTTATAAGTCATAACAGGTCACAAGGACGTAACCTATAGTTAGCCAATAGATCATAACGGGTCATAGGCCAACACTAATCAAACTAGATGATATACTTTGATAGTACATATATTAGTAATTGCTGTGATAACATTCACTAGCAATTATGACAATGGTTCCACGGCAAACAAGAGAAAATAAAGCTTTTTTTTTTATTAAAAATTATATCCCTTTTTATGTTTATATTTATATGTCGCATTTGTATAATCCGTTCATCTCGTCTATCATAAAGTTCATAATAAAATTTTTTTTTTTAAAAAAAAAAAAAAAAACGCTAATCAATATATATTATCTAATATTTTTTTATATTAGCGCAAATCAGAAAATCATTTACGGTTACTGGTTGCTAGGGTGATATATACGTGTATATACGTGCTAAAAATTTACCAGTAGTATCAAACCGATTTCATTTTATGTCGTGAGAAAAAAAGATCGGAGGCCACAATTATTTTTTTTTAGTTTATTTAAAGAATCAAAGATTAGCAACGGTGCAATGATGGATGTTGAAATTATATAAATCTACAGGGGATCTCCAAAATTCCGGGTCGGAAGGCATCGAATCCTTGTCTGCTGGCCGGAATCGCCCAAGATCAAGTAAAAAATGCTCAGCTGTTCTTATGATTCTCTAACATTTATATTTAAAATATGGATCTCTTATTTGAGAACATTTTATTCTTTCTAAATGCTCTCAAATATATATATATATATTCGATATAATTCAACATAATGAATGAACTAGTGCTCCGAAAGGGTTATTCTGGGTCGAACTGAACCCAAGTAAAATTGGTTGTATTTTGACATCTATAGATTTGTATCATGTACTGTATAATTCTATCAAATTATTTTATAAAATTGAGTAATGCTACAATAATTATAATTTGACTCGTTTATAAAATTGAGTAATGCTACAATAATTATAATTTGACTCGAATAGGCATAAAAGTTCTCGGGGCTGGGTTTTTAATTCGGGTTATCAGAATTAACTCAACCCTTTAGAAGCAATATAATGAACATCAAAATTTTTTCGAGAACATTAATAATTTAACACTGCTCAGCTGATAATTTGCTATCGCTATGGACTATAATCCGTAGTGCTAAATGCCGACTAGCTCCGATGCCTTCCGACCCGGAATTTCGGGAATCCCCGTGTATTAAGGATAGATTAGTGTAGCAACCAAAATTCAGCAGACCGACCAAAATTTAGGGTCGGAATAGGCCCGGAGCTAGGCCGGCATTAAGTAATAAT